GGTAGCGTGTTTCGCTTGAACAGACTCCGAACGAAACGTAATCATCAGCATCGTTGTCATCGGTCATCAGCAACGCCCCCTCAACAAGCGAACCCAGCCCGATCTGCCTGACAATAAACACATTTTCTGCTCGTTCGCCCTCGAAACAACACGTCACCTCTTGAGCAACGAAAACGATTTGCCTTGAGGACGAGTCAGAACGCTCTGACGCACACAGCAAAGGGCTGTTTTGAGCATTTTCAAATCTCATGACTACGATGTTAGAGGTACAAGAGTTTGAGGATTTACTGTGTTAGCTACCTCAGGGTCGACTTCACAAATTATCCTAAGATTATGTAGTTTCTCAGTAGGTCCTCTTGAGTCCTGAAAAAGTTCTATGCATTCACAGATAATCCCATAATTGCATTCACAATTTTAGAAAACGTTCTTAGGCGTAAATCCTCAAGTAATTTCGCATAATTAGAAAGCATGTGCTTTTACGGCAGCGTGTGAGGAGTGTAAGCTACAAAAACATCGTTCCTGATGAACATGAGGTTGGCCTAGCGGTCTAGTGATGCTGGATGCATTTGGCATGCAGACAAACATATATCTTTGAGCTGTGGCCTGCTGAAATGGCCTCCTAATCAATCAGGAGCAAAGGAACACAGTGTAATACGCTGAGATATCTAGTCTTGGGGAATCATGCGCCAAGTAATTTCTCCAGAATATCATCAGGACTCAAGAGTGACCTACCCTGGTGGTTTTTCTGGGCTTCACCTTGCATTGCTTCCCCACTACTTTAACATTCATGCATCTTCGTCCAGTATTGTTAGTTTATCTTTCATTGTATGTTGCTGCAATGTACAGCTGTATAGTCAGCTTGTATTAGGCTATCTGAAAGTGGTACATGTTTAATTTCTTCTCCTTTCTTCGCCTCTTTCAATTTTATGACCTTAGAATCCATAAAATTGATCATCAGACCCTCATTTCCGTCAAGCATAGGAAGAAATGAGTATAGCTTTTATGGTCTCATATTTAGTTCTTTAAATTATTGCAAAGTCTATGTCAGATTTCTTTGTTTACATCACTGTATGAAAGTCTCCGTAGCCCATCCTAGACGCTCCCGTGTCAGAACGCCGATAATGACCAACGGGCACTATCATATGACTGTGCGAGTTACGGTGGAATGGATACTTTGAAGTCGCTACACGGTGGTAGTAAATGATTATCAAAACTCAAAACGGGTCGATTAAGAAGGTTGACAGAGCTTCCTATACCTTCAGCACAGATTTGCCTATGAGGAGAACAATCGGACTAAACCCTGGATCACAGGATGTGATTGTAGTAAAGCCAGAGCAGAGCAGTGAGATTGTTGTTAGCGCTGAGGTCTATATAGTCTGAGATCTGAGGCCTTTTAACAGGAAAAGACGGTGCATACAAAAATCGATTAAAGACCCTATGGAATTAATTAGATAGATGATATTAAGAAATGGAGAAAATTCCTTCTTCCGACTTGAACCGGCGAAATCTGGAAAATCCTGCCAATTAACGCTGTCCAGATCTGACCTTCATTTCATCATTCCTCACAAAGAAGGATATAAGTTTACTGAAATTTCAATAATGCCCTAAGACTAAGTCAAATTAAGATAGTAATGACTTTATAGATCTAAAACTATGTCGTTTCAGTTCTATTAAATCCTCTACCTCGATGACAATTCCATTAATGGCTTGTCTTGCGGTTTTGCACTTCTTGCCATTCAGCTTGAATGGTTAGAAAAATTTTATTTTTTCTGCCGTTATCTTCCTTCTGTTTCTTAATTCCTGCCTTTTTCTTGGTCTTGTTCCGTCACCATATTTTGCCCTGTTTCTATTTTCCTCTGACCCCTGTTCGTCACTGTTTTCATGTTTTTTCATACTCTTCTTTCTCTGTCTCCGTATTAACAATTCTGCTTGAAGGTGCCTCCATCTGCCTTCCTCTACTTCCGCCTCACTCCACCCTAGTTTCTATACCCCGCTTTATTTTTCACTGCTTTGTCTTAGATTCTGTCGCTACCTCTGACTCATCATCTCTGTTTCGTTGTCCTATATGCTGTTTTTTCCCTCATTATCTGTCTCTGTCGTTCTCTCTCGTTTTGTCTTTTTTTCACTTCCTGCCTGTCTGCCCCTGCTTTTCTCATCCGGTCTCTTCCTGTCTGTCTCACTCTCGTTCTCTCATTCTTTCTCGATTATGTTCCCTGCACATTGGTTGGTTTCAATATCTGTAAAGTTTTTCACTCTTTTGTTGACTTCCAATGTTTCACTAAGACATATCATCACATTCTGTATTTCGAGCTCTGTCGTAGAGGATTTTTCCTCAATCCAACAGTATGACTCTTCATATTCATGATCATGAATTTATTAAAGAAACATGGACAAGCTTTTATTTCGAGTTTGTAAGAATTTATGTTATTGAAAGTCCTTCATAGTGACTGCACGTTCTGTAAGTATGGTTATGCAAAAAATGCTGGACAAGTTTAAAAATTAATGGATTTGAATTTTTGAAAATGGTTTTGCAATTGGAATTGAAATCAATTAAATAGATCACCAACGCTGTGACACCCTCTAGGCAGAAATAACGATGTGCTCTGGAACTTCACAAACTGTTGAACAGCAAATAATGTTCACTGAGACAGCTGATGTTTAAAACCATGCTTTGTGCATCCTCAGGGAAATAATGACTTGAGCTGTGCATCTCTTGTTGCTACTCTGAAGACGAACTGATTCATTGCATGAGTAAAATGTCAAAACAGGTAAAAAAGGCTGTTAAAAGCTTCAAACGATCTATAGTTATCAAATTAAGCTTTCTGACCCCAGAGCAATGCGCCTTCTTCAGTACAAATTAATTATTAATAATTATTAACTTCTGCTGAACAAAGAACAAGGTGTCCAGCAGCTTAACCTAATAAATACATAAATTTTTCCAGTCTCTTTCTTTATCTATTATAATCAGGAGCGTATTTTCAAGTAAAATTTCAAACTCGTTGTTCGTAGTTTAACCTTCCGTAACACCCAAAATGAAATAAATGGTACATCATTAAAGATTCAGTAGTTAGGTACACAAGCAAACGATCGACGGCCTGGTGTTAAAACTTGTTCCTTATTTCAAAACCAAATTTTTAGCCAAACAACATGCCGTCGTCTAAGCCAAACAATGGTAAATCAACCTAACTATATCCGTTTTAGTCTTGCTGATAAGCGGTATTGTTTGGTCAAAATATTGGCCATCAAAAAATGATTGGAGATATCGGCTGTCCGCATGTCATAATAACTCGTTCTGAATAATCAAACAACGAAAATCTATGCATGTTCTAGACAGTATTTGAAACTGGATCACTTTGTCAAACGTCTCGTGCCTCAATGGGCACCAAGGTGTCAAGCAGGCTAAAATAAGCAAAAGGATATGAAAGGTGACACATAAAAAGTTCAAAGTGCGTTCAACACAGTCAGCCTTAGACAAGGTTTACTAAGTGTCGAAAAATGGCACGTCTAGTTCAATCATGTTTTCTTGCCTGTCCTCTTTGCTTGGTGAATGACGCTTGCAATGATTTTGTTTTTGTACAAGGAATTAGTTTTCTCCAAAATCCAGTCTTGGCCTCCCCCGTTCAGGAAGCGAACAATTACAGTAGCAACAGTACCGTTGCATAGCAAGGCGAAGAATGGAGGAGCAAATATATCTGCTCCGCATTGGCAACCGCGAAGGTCTGCCATGAATCCTGAGACGGCTGGCTTCGCATGTTCTGAAAATTACCTTTCCTAAGAAAAACATGCGTTCGATGCTTCCATCCTTTTCATCGTGCCTTCTCCCATCTGAACGAACGACGACTTGCTTATGGCAAGTTCGATGAACAGGGTTTTATGAATGACATAAAAAAAGAAAAAACATGGCATTAGTTGGAGGGCGAAAATTAAAAATGTATTTTAAAACAAAGAAGCATTGCGCTGGGCATGTAATGCAGTCAAGTGATGTACTGTTATTCATTTGAGATGGCAAATTTTCAGATGACGCTATTTTCTTATCCTCTGCAAATTTCCACTTGAATATATTGGCTTTAGGGAGAAAAGCGTTGATTTTGATATGGTCCAGTCATTTTTCTCTTTGTGCATATGCCAAAGTAGCTCCCTTTCTTGAAGGCTATAACGCCAATTCAAGACATCGCTGAAACAATGATATTGACTCACTGCTTTCGATTTTTTAGTTTTGTCAAACCGAGGGTCAGCTTTACACAGTGGTAATTACTTGCTGGATGAAATCCTTTTGAAATAAGAAGCTTAACCTGTATCCTTCATAATCATTGAAAATGGCGGTAGCATGGCACTCGCAAGACACAGTAATTTGTCATAAAGTGGGCATTACACTATTCGTAATCCAAATATATAACAGTTCTGAAAGATTGATTATAGGAGAC